CATCTGAGACATACTCTCGTGTAGTCTCATCTTAACACTTATGCATTACGTTATTCACTGAAGTTTTGCTCTATTCTTTTCTCTTCACTTTTCTCTCATTTTCGTTGCCTACCAAATGCCTTGATGAGGAGGACTAAGGTAATGGTCTTAAATTCGTCATCTCCCGATTTGGTAGTTATGCATATAGCCTTTGTCTCGCGTTCTTTCCACCTCAGTCCAATACTATGTTGAACTGAGGTGGGTATTCTTTTATATTCTCTTCTCTGTGATATCTCATATCCTGTAGTTTTACCTTATTCCATAGGTAACTAATAATCAGTCCAATACTACATTGAACTGAGTTTTACCTTATTCCATAAACACTTCCTGATTTTCTAGAGTGTATTCATCCTTGGTCTGTCTTCAGGACCAACAATAGTGGCAATGTCGTCGACTATTTTCGACTGTCCTTGGCTAGCAGGGCGAATAATAATTTATGACCCTATGTGTGCAACTCATTCAACGAACGAACGAACGACGTGCAGGCCGTGTTTCTTGCCTTCCTATCTCTCTGTGTGTTTAGGTTCTTGGATCCAGGGTCGGGGCCTCTTTATTCTTTCTCCTTTCTTCTACTTGCACGTTACGAATATCAGGCTCGTCCCCCCCTTCCCCTCTTGCCTGCTTGCTCTAGTGTTGGTCTTGCTCCTTTTCTGTTCTGTTATACATAGGTTTGCAATGTTCCTCCCTAGCTTTCTCGCATCCCATTTATTTATATTTTGTATCATGCATGCATGTACTGTAATGTATTCTGCTATCATTGTCAGGTTGCTGCTTCGTCGCATAATGTTACACAAAAATATTCCTTGTAACCTCACATGAGCGGGGATACACACGTACCAAGAAAACAAGACACAAGACCTCCTTGTAGTACAATCCGTTCCCCCCTCTCCCTTCTTCCCAACCACCCAACCACTCAAACATCCTCCAACCCTCCATGCACCGCATGACTACCATGCCCAAGCAACCCCGCCACGCCCAAACTACCCCCTACACCCTCCCTCACACCCTTCGCTCTCAACTCCGCATGATGCTGCTCCACCTCTTCTTGTACTCTCTCGATTGATCGGAAGTAGCGGACGGTCTTGACGCGTAGTTCGAGGGTTGCGTCTGAGTCTGCTATGATTAGGGCCCAGGGGTGGTGTTGGAGGGCTGAGAGGGTCCACTACGAACACGCAATAAGATATCAAATCATCCATTAGCCGAAAAGACTCACCAAATGATTAACTCCCTCCTCAATAGCCTTACTCAAAGCCAAAGCCTTCCTCTGACCCGTAACAACAACCACAACTTCCCTCGCGTCCAACACAGTCCCTACACCCACCGTCAACGCCATCCTCGGAACCTGGTTAATATCGTTCCCGAAGAACCGCGCGTTGGCGAGGATAGTGTCGTATGCGAGAGTTTTTATGCGTGTGCGGGATTTTAGGGAGGAGCCTTCATAGTGTTCAATGTCATTCGAAATGAAAAGTAAAGGAGGAAATTGTATGCGTCAATCTCATTTTCACGAAAAGAGGAGAAAGAAGAAAGAAGGGAGAGGAGACGCACCAGGTTCGTTAAAAGCAATATGCCCATCCTCACCAATCCCACCCAAAAATAACTCAATCCCACCGACAGACTTGATCAGAGCCTCGTACGCTGCACACTCGCCGTGCAAGTCTGCGGCTGTCCCGTCTAGGAGGTGTACTTGCGAGGGTGGGATGTCGACTGCCGAGGTGTGAGTTTCGCGGGTTTCGTGTTGTAATGAGTTACACGCCATTCATAACGAACAGAAATAGTGAATGTTGGAATGAAGAGGCTCAGTGAAATTCTGAAGACGAAGACGAGGATGAGAGACGCACTGTGCGAGAAGAACTCGCGAAACATGAACGTATGGTACGACTCTGGGTGATCGCGCGGTAGACCGACGTATTCATCCATGTTGAACGTGATGACATGCTTGAACCTGTCGTAGATCCGTTCAAATAATAAATAAGCACGGATGCAAGCGGGTTCATTCGGAATAGCAGAACAGGAAGGAAAGGAAGGGCAATGCACGATGGATCTCCAGCGCATACAACCACCCCACTCATACCGTCAGTCCTCACCGCTCCTTGCCATTCCAAACCCACGAAAATATGAACGAAAGACTCACGAAAGCTTTCCCTCCTTAACCATCCTAATGAGCGCCTTATACGTCGGGATAGGTGACGAACCGGTCGGGAGACCCAGCACGAAGGGTCTTTGAGCAGTCGGGTTGAACTCTTTTATCCTATTTGTCGTGTATTGTCGTCGTCGTGGGTCATCACATCACATCACATCACAGTTGTCGTTGTAACAGGAGCATTAATTGCCAAACGCGAGACAGACGGCGATAGAGATACCACATCACACCCACAAACAAACGAAATAAGTAGACCAAATCATGAGCTCCCCCAACCACAATGCGCATAAGTACAGGAAAGGGACATACCGTTTACATATATAATTAGCCGTATACTCGCCCACAGCAGCGGGGTCTTCACGCAAGATCAAACGCATATCGCTGATTCGTTATTCTCTTTGGGCACGTCACTCTTCCGGCGGATACAGAGTCACAGACAGCGACAGTGACAAAGTCAGAGACAGAGGTAGGGAGACAGAGAGGGGACACCCACAGGTCCTTCGATTACCGCTCCTTTATTTGAGAGATGACCGGAAGATATGCTCCGTTCTCCGAAGTCCGCATGGCTCCGACATCCCGTCCACATGGCGACTCTTCTTTCCCCCTGATCGTCTCATTGCTGCTGGCGCCACGTCGAGAGTAGCACCGAGCGCCGGAGGCTAATCAGCGTCTGCACGTTCGTCAACGCGTAGTGTTATTATTATTATTATAAGTATTGTCACATATCGCACAACTATAAATTAGTATAATCTAATCATTACACTTATCTGAGTATAATATATCTACCTCTACCTTACCACCCTCCAAAATCAAATAATCCTTCATCAATCCCATTGGACCTTGGCTGCGTACTCCCTAATCCGACTAACAAACACATCATACAACTCTTCACCTGCTCCCGTAGCAACCTTCACAATCAACTCATTCAACCCCGTCGAGCCCAATATGTCAACATGATCACTTGTGTTGGCGCCTCCGCGCGGGATGGAGGATGTTGGGAGATGTGGGAGCTACGCAGTGTGGAGTATGCCATAGTAATTAGTATTGTATTAGGTTAGAATTTTAGAAAGGATATTGAAATGAGATTGTGCATGAGTTTGATAGGATAGGAAGAAAGAGGAGAGCAAGAGAAGACATACCTCAGTCGTGATAACCTTCACCCCACCAGGATTCCATCGCTTCCTCTTCCAACCCTCCACACACATCGCACCAAGACTTAACAAACTAACAGTCCCGTCTCCCTCTCCCAGCTTTACTCCATTCTTCGTCTTCAACAGCCCCAACCAATCCCAGATCATCAACGAACACAATATGCGTTTATTTGTCAAAGTCAATGAAAAAACCGATTATCAATATAGGAAGGAAACAAAAAATGTGGAATATGAAAGGAGACGCACCTTAACAACCCCACCCTCATCCTGCACCCCATAATCAATCCAATTCCGTCTCGAAAGCGGCAAGTCCAACGGCGCTCTTGGGGTCGTACAATTCGCAGCCTCAGAATCCTCACATACTGCACCCTGTGCGTCTGCGAAGGATTCGTCGTATTCGTATTCGCCTCGGGCGTACCTATATATAGAGAGATAGGGAGTTGGGGGTGTTGGAGGTGGGGTAAGGTAGGGGGGATGGAGACGTACCAGTAGGATCGCTATTACGATTCAACATCAAAACGAGTCAGTTAGTCTACGAAAGGATACACGCAAGTAAATGAATCGACGCACCTCAGTTTCCTTCCCGTGCCCATACACACAATATATCTTCATCGACGGGGCATTCGGTAGTCTAACCACAACATGACCAACAAGATCATCAGTAACCATTTTAGATCCCCATAACCAATTTGTAGAAAGAGAAGTGAGTTTACCTAGACTCTAAAGGATTACTCCATTTTCTCGGATCATCGTCGTTCGCCTTCAACTTCTTCTCGTCTCGCTCAATCCCGCACGAATAATTGCTTTCCATCATTTTCTGTATACACATAAACATCATCAATTATCAATTCAATCCATTCACCAAAACAGAATAACACTCGCATCGAAAAAGAGGAAGAGAAAAGTGGAAAACCTCACCTGAAAACTAACATCCGCATGCTCCAAGATCCAATTCCCCGCCTCTTCCGCCGTCAAGTTCCTCTTCACGTCCGCACTCACACTCTTTCCCTCATTATTTTTCTCCAGCGCGTTTTGCCCGAGAATCTCAGAAGGTCGGAAAGACAGGAACCTCCCATGTGTTGACGCTTCGGTACAGTTATCAGGGTCGTCTGGGGAGTGAGTATGGTTGCCCCAGATGGCGTTGCCGCCCTACGAAGGAGGAGGCCATAGACGTAGAGGTAGGATGAGATACATGAGGGGAAAAGACGGAGAGAAGAAGGGAGACGGACCTTGATCCACATACTCGCACTACCCGCCCACGTTCTGAAAAGCTTTGCGCGTTCTTTACGTGAAAAGAATCGTTCGAGTACTGTCATATTATACAGTCCATCCCGCATCACAAAGAAATTAGATTCAGTGACCGTTGCTCTCCGTCCATCGAAAGAAGAAAGGCAAGAAAGAGAAAGGAAGGGAGGTTGAACGCACCGTACGCTCCAGTAGGGTTTAACTCAACCGTATCCTTCATCTCACCTGAGAGGAAGGCTGTCATCGCTTTTGGCTGGCAAGCACGCACGCACGTGAATTTCTTAAATCAATTCCGAGGAGAAAAACGTTTCGAGTCACTTACCACACCCTACACCGACCCAATCGATCAATTCAGATATTCACTCTGACAAAATTCATGATGAATAGGAGGCTCACGAGATGCGTCCCTGCCACGGATATGAAGGATTCGATATGATCCTAACAATAACATTAATTATGATCGAGTTATGTGTGGTTTGAAGGCCTGGCGCACCTCTACCCAGGTCGGCCCACCACCGCCGAACCGAGGGGACTCGACCCATTTCATACTGTCAACGAGAGGAGAGAGAGGTTACTGCTCTGTTACTTTCTTCGTGCAGAGTGGACGTACAAATACTATAAAGCAATACTTGTTAACGTGTAGAAAGAAGTCAGCAATAAATGTGAAGTACCAATACGACCTTGAAAAACGCGGAGTTACTGTTCATGTTCTTCCGGGTTTTGATTGTGGAAAACGGCATACCGAGCTACCCATAGAATGCGCGACAAGTACGACTTTCTTATCATGTCGCTTCCTGCACCATAAATCATATCAAATCAATCATCTTTGCAAAGACTAATAACAATAATACTTGATGATATAGAATGTAGGAAAGAGTAACGCACCTCATCTCCTCAATACTAGCTTTCAACCTCGAAAAATACCCATCGCGTTCTTCCAAATTCCAATAACTCAATCTCCAATCATACGCAGCTAGCAAGAGGTTGTTCGGATCGTACCCCACGACAGCGAGGTTCTCGACGATTTTGGACCAGATCCAGTAACCTTGGACGAAGGAGGAGGCTGCGTCGATTCCTTGTTTGTCATTGAAATATAATTATAAGGAGCATGTCGAGGGTAACGTAGAAAATAGACATGCCTTGTGCTGCTCGTACTTTCACTCCAGGAGGATCGAGTCCGGTTATGGGGTCCAACATGACAGCGTTCATCCACTTATCCTTGTTGAACGTAACTTGTGTAACCATGCTTTACACAGCCAGTCAGGACGTTATTCAGGGATTGAGAACGGAAGAAAGAAAGCTGCACACACTGCAAACCACCCCACACCTTCTCCCTAAACCATCCTCTGTACTCCTCCCGGGTCGACCACGACTCCAAACTGGTCGATATAATCCCCGGAACAAGCACAACAGGGTACTCCGCACGTAACCCTCTATCTCTCATCCTCTCCCCTACTTTAAACTCCCGGCCATCGTTATTAAGTTTCCAAGGTTCAGGTATCTTAGCCTTGAATGCCTCCCATTCCGTTTCGAAGCGACCCCAGTCGAGGTCGATGCTTGTCATTAAGTTTGTTAGGAATGAGCCTACGTCTGTTTGGGATTGTTCGAGTAAGAGAGCGAGTTGGGTGGGCATTTCGAGAGGTGTGGTTGTTGGTGCGAGGAGAGCTGTTCCGACGATAGTGCCGACTGTACGCATTATCGTTTAGTTGCAAGAGCATGACCGGTTGTGAATGATCTCCACATACGCAAAATACCCAAAGGGAAGATGAATCTACGAGAGGTGAAGACAGACGATTCCTGGCAGCGTTGAGAGCGTCAATTTCTATCTTGTCAAGCATCTTTGCACGAGAGAAACATACCTTCTTCAATCTCTCCTTAGCCTTCTCAATGACTACATCGTCCGTCTTTGCTAGGTCTACTAATGAAGAGTCAGACGAACTGCTCCTTGCCGAATTGCTTTGCGGCTCCGAGATATCTTGCTCATCGTTGTTCTTCCAGAACGACCTCTTCCGGTGTCTTAATGACATGATTTCAAAGGACGTGTATGATGCAGGTATTAATGTCAAAAACAAAAACAAATCACGTTCAATGTCCAAAATAGCCCATAGTCGTGAGAAATAGATCCCCCGACTAGAGTCTAGCCTAGCCACTCACTCTGTTCCTTTCCTCCAAAGTAATCGCCGCACCTCCGCAAAATGGCTTCACTCCTCGATCGTATAGACGTAGCTCAACCAAATGGCACCGTAGGGCCAGTTCGCAATCGTGGTACCCGTTCCAGCTCGGTGCCCTACGTACGTCTTCGTTCTTAATTACGCGTCCAACAGCCAATTGCTCAACTCAACTTTGCAAACACCTTCTCTTCACCCGTCTCAACCCACTTCACTACCAATTACCAATCTAACGACATGTAGGACAAGTCGGCAAGATTAGGACGCTCAAAAGCCGACGCAGACGCAGTATGGAAGCACGACCTTTACACCGGTCCAGGCAAGACTCTCGGTTCACGCATTTCCGACGACGTATCGACAACAACAACTGCAAAAGTGAACACGAGCGGCGCAGCTCTTGCTTTGCGTCAAGCTATCGGACTCGATTCGCGACGATCATCAGGCGCAGACTTGAATATAAGGGGAGCGAGTGCAGTCGGCTCGAACGTCGTACAAGTTAAGAACCTTGCAGCAGGAACGACTGCTGCCGATGTGGAGGTATGTCATCGTTTCAAACTCTTCGTCGCCGCAGGGCAGTACAATGCTTAAGGTTATTACCTATCAACTTCCTACCGCTCTACTAGGCAATCTTCAAGAAATGCGGCCCCATCCTCGAAGCATACACATTCGGTTCCTATACCACCTCCAAAGACAAAGTAACCGTCCGACTAAAATTCAAAAACTCAGAAGACGCCAAAACCGCAGTATCATCATTCAATGGCAAGCCCGCAGACGGGAACGTCTTGGCAGTTGACATCGTCGGTAGTGCAAGTACTGCACTCGGTGGACGACTATTGGGAGGTAGTGGCGTAGTAGTAGATGGGACTGTTGATGTTCTGATGGACGACGTTGCAGGCAGTTCTTCTTCTGGTGGATCGTGAGTACCACCCCCATGATCGTCTTAAAACAACAGATAAACTGATGGTCGCATAGGAAAATGCGTTCCGACGAACTTCTAAACGACCCAAGAGCCCAAGTGCTCATCGTACCTCCCGGTGTCGACCCAGCAGAGTACAATCAAAGTCAAAGAGGAGGATCTTGGCGCGGACGTGGTGGACGTGGACGTGGGGGTGGCCGACGACCCGGTCGAGGGTCTGGAAGGCGAATGCAGCGTACAGGTTCTTCTATGCTTGTTGACTGATTGATGCGTATTTCTTTATTTCTTCGTCTGGCCGGCTTTGGCTGTATACATGTACGTTCACGTCCTTCGCTATCTGCACTTTACTGGTAATCATTATGTTTTTAAACCCATCTGACGTACTTCTTTTTTTTTTGCCCTTTTCTTTTGGGGTTGATGTACATGCTATTATGCTATTATGCTATTTACGAATCGAATACAAGGTCGTTTTGTTATTCAGACGTTACAACGGCAGCTATTCCAAGATCAGGTCCGTCCAGAATTGATATGATATCAATATTGATTCATCCATCCGCTGCACCGATATCCTCCTTGACCTGGATCGGATAGAAACAAACGCCTTCAATTCGTTGTCAAGAACAGCCTGGGGTGCCTTGCGCCGAAACTTCGTGATTTTTTCCCGAAGATGTACTGACGAACATACAATATTAATGGTTAGCACGCGAAAGCAGATGAGAGGAAGTCAAATTAAGTATGATATTTACCATCAATGGGAATGCCTGTAAGGATACAAAACGCCATCAAGGCAGCCAGAAATTAGTATACCTACAGCATATCAGCATGTTCGAGGCAACTAACTAACTTTGTTTCCCTTCACTTCTGGGATTGCATTATTACAATATGCTATTTTGTTATTTTACGAATACAAGGTTATTTTTATTTATTCATGCGTTACCCGTAGCTATGTCAAAGCAAAGCAAAATCAAATCTCTCTCTGGAACTGATATGCAAAATCGAGACGAGACGTATCGGGCCGTACCAACCAATCTGCTTTGTATCCATCCTTATTCCAGATCGAAATAATATCCTTAATTCGTTAGGAAGAGTCTAGGATGCCTAGAGACGAAGCTTCGTGATTTCTTCCCGAAAACATACTATTACACAAATCATGATTAGCACGCACGTAGTACGTAAAGAACAAGAGGAGTTTTTTTTCATTTTTTTTTTCAAGTATATGTGATTATTCACCATCGGAATGCCTGTCAGGATACAGAACGCTGTTAGGGCTGCCAGGATACTAAACGTACGGAGAACGCCCTATGTTGTTTTAATAGTCAGCCCGACGATTCGAAATCAAGAGTATTAATGTATTGTAATGATAATTAGAGGTGTATTAGAGATGGAAGAGATGGTTAGAGATGATTAGGAGGTGGACGTACCAAGTCAACAACCCATCCATTGACGAAAAGTGTGACTGCATACAGGAGCATGCCCTTTGCAAAGTTCACGAGGGCGAAGCACTGAAAAAGAGTTGAAGGCGAAGGTGAAAGTATAAAAAATACGTGAAAATAAGTTCAAGTTTAATTGGTGAGTTTTTAATAATACCTCGGGTGAGTTAGTGCGATGCACGTCCTAGAATTCGAGAGACAGAGATACTAAAGTTAATCCAAATAGTATGCGGGGGTGGTGGACACCACACTCACTATGAGATAGCTGCAGATTGCAGTTGCGCCTATGCATTGTCCACTACTCTGTGATTCATTGCAACTTGATTATCACTTTCCATGCATGTCTACACAGTAGAAAAACGCTCACAATCATGGAGTACATTACCACTGGCCCAACTACACGAGTTCCCGCGCGTCAATATCGGAAGGATAATGATGAAGAGATTGACTTACTCCAAGGAAGGCCTTTCGGCTGCATGATAGCCTGCGATAACATTAACCTTAACATATAAATAAATCGTTTAATATACATGTTCTTACCCATCCTACACATCCAGCGACATCCAACACGAACATCGGAAAAAGAAGGAACAGGCGAAACTCCGGTTCGTAGACGCCTTTGTTTCGCCTTGCAGCCCATTTAACAGACCAGTCGGATAGTCTGCGCGGTAAATAAATCAAATAAATCAATGAAGGGACATGAGATGACGTAAGAACATATGGGAGAAGACGTACGGTCCCGCTGCGGCAGTACCGATGATTGATCTGATGAAAGGCCCGATGGAGATCAAGCCGACTCTGCAAGATAAAATCAGGTTGATTTCGCGTCGCTTAAAAGCCGGCTGACATTTTAGAGTCGAAGAAGTATGGTGCACTGCCGAATACTAACGAGTAGATGACAGAGATAACTATTGGCCGGGTGTGAGATTTGTCCATCTTCCGAATGTTGAAATACTTACCGACAAGCCAGCTTTGTACAGTGTCAGAGTGAACAGTTATTGTAAGTATGTATTGAGATCGACATAAGCAAAGCAGACTAACAGAGCCGTACAGCCATCTGAAGGGCGTTAAATCAAAAAAAGTTTGGATAAAATACTTATGAATATACTTACAAGCAAAGAACGCGAACCACACCGCAGGGCTAAGCGCGAAAGGAAGCGGTCTAAGCAAAGACTTTGTAAAGGTTATGTCACTTGAGTAGCTCCATGGCTTAAGTTCTTCAAGAAACGTCTTCGCTCTCGGAATTCTCTGGCCGGTTTCTTGCACGCTAATGTCCATGGACGGCATCGTATCAGTTTCTTCGACGTGGACTACCTCGTTGGCAATGTCGCCCTTCCGTGAGTGGGAGGTCTTCTCTACTTCGACAATATTTGTGGTATCATCGGTGCAATCACCACAGCATGCGCTTCTGCAGTCGTACTGTTTGAACAAGAATATGATAAGCAGTGACTTAGCGTATTGGTAAGTAAATATCTTCACCATCGTTTCAGGCATAAGAAATATCGTGCTAAGGAGGCTGATCCCGAACATGACCAGAATAATCCAGAATGTCCATCTTCGAAAGAAATATTAGAGTTGTGTTTTACTCATGCAAGTCATCACCTTACCTCCATCCAAGGGTGCTAATCACCGGACCATCGACAATGGGCGTTATCTGTATTACGCTTTAGTGGCGTGGCTTAGTAATGGTTTCATTGACACGCTCACAGTGACTCCACCTAAATAAATAGTAAGCGCTGACTTATGTGATGAAGAGAGGATAGACAAACCTCCGATAGCAAAGTTCCAAATCGCTACCCGCTTTCCTCTTTCATGGACCTATCATGATTTAAGGAACCAACACCTATGATAGATGGATTTTTTCTCACAAAGAATATATCGCCTATGCTGGCTGCGGCGAGAGCAAAGTATGGCGCCATTCCGAAGCCTGCATTAAATAACCTTATAATGTTTGATATACGTTGAGTAAAAGCTTGGAATACCTTGGAAGACACGAGCCAGCTTGAGTGAGGTAATATTTGTAGATCTGATCATGTGTCAAATAATCCAGAAAGGTCCAACAGTAAACTTGCTAACGTTGCCGCCCAAACACCTATTGAGCCACAAATATTGAAGAAGTCCAGTAGATTCATGCACAACACCATGATGAAGACCGACGATAAAGACGTACATGTGAAGAATTGACATGCTGAAGCAAACAAGAAAACAGGACGACGACCGAACTTGATAGCCAAAGAACCTTGAACAAGGGTAAATATCCCGGAAGCCAGAGACAAATCTGCACTTGTTTCTGCTACTGCGTTAACGGGGACACCCCATTCAGTCGCGATATCTTTAAAACCAGCGCTACATCGAGAGAATTTGTGTTCAATTTTGTCAATAACAGATTCTTGACCTGGCTGGCAGGAGCGCACTTAAGCAAGTGAGGAACGGATCCTCTATTAGGTAGTCGAGATCAGTTGAGGCACAGTCCAAAGTTGTTGGCTTCATTACGCTAGGCCAGCTGCTAAGCAGAGGCTGTTGAAGGACGAAAGTGATAGAATTCGGAAATTGATTATTAGCAGATCGTCTCGCGGGAACATTTCTGAGAGCTCACCTCCAAAATTGACATTCTTTTTTCCACCTCGGCCAGTTCAAAGGATCCTAAGATGCAGGGAATCAGCACAGCGCCAGCATTGTCTATGCTTCAGATACCTTTGGATCATCTGAAGGCTGTGGGTTGAGAATGATATCCTTGTCGCTGTAAACGTCACGCTAGAATAAGTCTTCCAGTTTTGTCTCAATATTTGTTTCCAGGACTAACCATGTGGAACGCTTCAGATGGATGTTATCAACAGGACGGTTTATATCCGTGTCAAGTACCTCTTCTTCGCTCAGGACCACCGTGCCAGGGACCTGTATAATCGATCAACTCCATTAAATACCTATCAACAGCGACAGCATTTTGAGTATTCGTCCACCTGTAATCCAACCGTTTTGTCCTCAAGTATACCGAATGCCATATCAGTCGGGAAGTGTTGAAGGTAAGTGCGGTGCTTGAGGTCTTAAGGAGTACCAGCTGCCACTGCCTGCGAAGGACCGTCCTTTCAATATAGCCCCAGTCACTCCTTCGGATCGCGCCACTCTACCACCTACGCCATGCTTATCCGACCAACCAAAGGCCCTTGAGCTAACAACATCGCATCCTCTTCACACCGGGTATCTCAATCTGGATAGCTGGAAAGCTGGTGAAGGGAAGCAACAACGAATGGTCAGGCACATCTAAACCTATTCTTCTCACTTGACCAAAATGACACTGCTGAAGGAGTCTTCCCTTCATACAAGCTATTTGTGTAGCTTCGTAATACCATATGCACATCTATAACTTCGGGCATCTACGCATTATTGTATTTAGTTGATGGAACGGCCCTTCCCCCGTTTGCTGCAAGACTAGGTGGTCATAGATGGGCGTATTGTGCAGAGTCACACACCAGACTACTTCGCCGAACACCTTGTTATGGGTCATCTGTCATTGTCCGTTTTTGACGGAGTCGCGCGTGCTAATTACAAGCAAACAATTGGCATCAGAACTGGATACCATACAAGAGCCTCGAGCCCCTAATCTAATATTAATTATCCCCGAAATTGACAAAGAAAAAGTGAAAACTTACGTAAATATGAATCCTCCTGATTCGTCCCCAAGAGACGAGTGAACGTCATTTTGTCAAGAAGAGTCTGGGATGCCTTGCAACGAAACTTCGTGACCTCTTCCCGAAAACATACTGGCGTACATATAATTGTTAGCATAAAAAAAAACGGGAGGATGGCAAATATTCACCATCGGAACGCCTGTCAAGACGCAGAATGCTGTCACGGCCGCGAGAATACCTAATATTAGCATGTTCCAGATTAATGGAATCCCTTCTAAGCCAAATATATACTATTTCTCTGCGTGATACACGCACCGAAAGTACGAAGAATCCCCTATTTTTCATTTTAACTCATAATCAATATCGAGAAAGGGATGTAGTAATCGTTGTAGATGACACACCAAGTCTATCACCCATCCATTGACGAAGAGTGTAATTGCGTAAAGAAGGATGTCCTTCCCAAAGTTGACAAGGGCAAAGCACTTAAGAATCGAAGGTGAATAAAATTAAATGTAAAAATGTAAAAAGCTCAAGTTTAGTGGGTTTCCATACCTCAGGTGCGTTAGTCCGATGCACATCCTGGAATTCAGGAAATATAGACAGTAGAATGAATATAAATGGCATGCAGAGTTGCACATGCCCTCACAATAAGATAGCTGCAAATCGCAGTTGCACCTATGCACTGTCCTCCACTCTGTGGTGAATTGCAGCTTGATTAACGCTCTCCACACACACTACTCAGCAAAGCACTCACAATCATGGAGTACATCACCACTGGCCCTACTGAAAAAATCCAAAAAGGTTAATATCGATGAACAAAGACAGCTAGATCTACTTACTCCATGGAAGGCCTTTTGGTTGCATGATAGCCTGCAGGAATCTTACGCTGAATATATACATCTTTTAACATGCATAATGCGTATAATTACCCATCCAACATATCCAGCGATGTCAAGTATGAACATCGGGATGAGAAGGAACAGGCGGAACTCAGGTTCGTATATGCCTCTGTTTCGCCTAGCAGCCCATTTGACAGACCAGTCAGATAGTCTGCAGGATAAATCAATGAGTGGATACGGATTAGAATGCAATCTTCAGGATAATACGTACGGGCCTGCTACCGCAGTGCCAATGATAGATCCGAGGAAGGGCCCAATGGAGATCAAGCCGACTCTATAAGAGAAAATTAGCCAAAATTATTGCCGCTTGAAAGCTGCTGACGTTTCAGAGTTGAAGAAGTACGGTGCACTGCCGAATACTAACGAGTAGATGACAGAGACAACTGTTAAGGGTATATTAGATCCGTCAATTTTCTGTAGGTCGAATACTAACCGACCAGCCAACTTCGTGCCATGAAAAGTTCAGTATGCTTTATAAGTCGACGTAAATGAAACAGACTGACACAGTTGTACAACCATCTGAGGAATGTTAACCCGAAATACATTCGCTCGAGAAGGTGTATGCTTACAAGCAAAGAACGTGAACCACACCGCAGGGCTAAGCGCGAAAGGAAACGGTCTAAGCAAAGACTTCACAAAGCTTATGTCACTTGAATAGCTCCATGGTTTAAGTTCTTCAAGGAACGTCTTCGCTCTCAGAACCTTCTGGCCAGTTTCTTGTATGCTAATAGTCTCAGACGATGTTCTATCAATTTCCTCGATATCCAGCACCTCGTTGGCGATGTTGACCTTCGATGGATGGTGGGTCTTCTCTAACTCAACAATGTCTGTGGGATCATCAGTGCCATCACCATAGTGTGCACTTCTGCGGTCGTACTGTTCGAATAAGAAATAAATAAGTGAAGTGCTTGTGTGCAATAAATATCTTTACCATCGTTTCAGGCATGAGAAATATTGCACTGAGGAGGCTAATCCCGAACACGACCATGATAAACCAGAATGTCCACCTTCGAGAGCGTAATCAGAATCACATTTTGTTAATGCGAATTATCGCTTTCACCTCCATCCAAGGGTGTTAATCACTGGACCATTAACAATAGGTGTTATCTTGGTTACGCTTTAATGTCGCAGTTTATTGACGGTTTCGTCGATACCCTCACCGCAAGTCCACCTAGGTTAGGTGATTATAATTAGATATCGACCTTCGTGATGAAGAGAGAAACGGCAAACCTCCGATGGCAAAATTCCAGATTGCCACTCGCTTTCCCCTTTCATGGACCTATTATGCTTTAAATAATAACCTTAGGATAGACAAGTTTAACCTTACAAAGAAGATATCGCCTATGCTGGCTGCTGCAAGAGCCTCGTACGGTGCCATTCCAAAGCCTGCATTAAATAAACTTAACGTTTTTCTATGAGTTGAATAAAGCTGAGAATACCTTGAAAGACTCGAGCCAGTTTGAACGAGGTAATGTTTGTGGATCTAATAATGCGTTAACGCCTTCGAAAGATATACAATAATAAATGTACTAACTTCGCAGCCCAAATGCCTATTAAGTGGCAAATGCATCAGATGTCAAGCTGTTGTCGTTTCTCCGAACTACAAGTAACGATGATAGAAACGTACATGTGAAGAATTGGCATGCCGAGGCAAACAAGAAAACAGGGCGATGACCAAACTTGATACCCAAAGAGCCTTGAACGAGGGTGAATATCCCAAGAGCCAGAGACAAGTCTGCATTCGTTCCTGCTACTGCGTTAACCGAGATGCCCCATTCCGTTGCGATATCTTTAAAGCCAGCGCTGAATGGTGCGAGTAAATTTCACTTTTTGTCAGAAATAATTTTTTATTAAGCTTGTGGAAACGCACTTTAGCAAATGACCAACGGATCCGCTGTTAGGCAGTCGAGATCAGCTAAGGCACGTTCTAGAATTACGGATTTTGTTACGCTAGACCAGCGGCTAAGCAGAGGCTGTTGAAGGGCGAATGAAAAGCGCCGGCATTTGGAAATCGAGTGAGCAGCGAATAGTATCGTGTGAACATTAGTAAAACAGCTCACCTCCAATAGTGACATTCTTTCTTCCACCGTGGCCAGTTTAGAGGATCCTAAGGTGCCGGGGATTAGAGTAATACGGTCATTATTTATGCTTTCGCATGCCTTTGGATCATCCGAAGGTTGTGGGACGAGAATGATGTCCTGGTCGCTTTGTTCACCACGATGGAATAAATATTTTCTTTTTTGTCTTGGTATTTGTTGTCAGGACTTACCCTGTGGATCGCTTTAGATGGGTGTCGTCAACACGGCGGTTCAAATCCGCGCCAAGTGTCTCCTTGTCACTCAGCACTGCCGTTCCAGGGACCTGTATGTCCAATCAACTCAATGTGCTATGTACAACAGCGACAACATGATACGTCATCCACCAACCTGTTGTCCAAACGTCTTGTCCTCAAGAATCCCGAACGCCATGTCGATTGGAGAGGGTCGAAGATAAGTATAAGACCGGAAGTCTTAAGAAGCGTCAGCTGCTGCATTCCGCGAGGCGCTGTCTTTTCAATAGAGTCACAATCACTCTTTCGCATCGCGGAGGTTTGCACATACACAAAGTTTATCCGACCAAGCAAGGGTCCTAGAGTTGGAAACGTCGCGTTCATGTCATATTAAGTGTCCAATATGAGCGACCGAAAAGCCGGTGGCGAGAATCAACAAATGAATGGCCGGGCGTCTAAGCATATCCTTCTCACTTGTCAGCCGACGCAGGCCTTCTATCGTGCAAAAACATTTGTTCACGAGAAGCTAAAAGCTATTTATATAGCTTTATAATGCCATGTGTTCATTTGTATTGTTCCTCGGGTGTCTATTTATCAAGGCGTTTGGTCAATGGAAACGGTTCTTCACAGAGTAACTGTGTCAGACAAGCGGCTGGAATGCGAGCCCTTATTCCTGTCGACCTTTAAGAGTACAATGGAGGGGAAAGTAATCGTTGACCGAGACATCCTGACTGGTAGGATAGTCGGAGTTTTAGAGTACTGGATTCTCCCGTGTTTTCTTGATCAATTGAGTGACGTTCATAACTGGTGTATTGTGAACACGCCCGACTTCGGTTCTCTGTCCCCTTGAACGTACCCTATCGTGGATCATCTATGACTATTCTTTTTGGGAATGCTGCACTTGCTAATTTAGCGTAAATGATTGACATCATATCTTGGATACCAGTATCACTTCGGAGCACACCGAGTCTCAAGCCTCTAGAAGAATATCGGTCACTGCCTGAATTTGACACGGAAGTAGAGCCTTACATCCATACAACCCACCCAACTCGTCCTCAATAAGAGCAGTCACCCTTAGTTTGTCAGAAAGAGTTTAGGATGCCTCGCGACGAAACTTCGTGACCTTTTTCCGAAAATATACTATTGCGCGCTTATCAACCTTCCTCTCGCAGTGCTAGCTATACTGAACTCACCATCGGAATGCCTGTTAGGATACAGAACGCCGTAACAGCTGCCAGAATAGCTAAAGCAAGCAAGCGAATTTCGGGACGAGCGAATATGGATAAACGTTCATAACAATAGTTCAAGCTACGAACCGAAAGTACGAAGAATACCCTGTTGCATTGGGTTTGGAGCTTGCGATGAGAACGACATGCAATCATGGGAAAGATATACATACCAGTTCGACCACCCAACCATTGGCAACGAGAGTTACTGGAAATAGAACCATATTCTTGGCGAAGTTGACAAGAGCAAAGCACTTCGGAGCGGAGGAATTTGAAATGAATGAAGCCAGATGTAAATACGAAGGGAAATGAATCACCTCTGGGGTATTCTTCCGATGAACGTCCTGGCGTAAAGTAGAATATGACGAGAATAACTATGGGGGATAGGAGGTATGTTCTCACTATGAGATAACTGCAAATCGCAGTTGCGCCAATGCATTGCCCTCCAACCTAAGACATCATCAGGTTTAATTAGTGCATCCTAAATGAATATTACACCTGGAGCTTACTATCATGGAGTACATCATCACGGGACCGACTGAGAAAACCAACAATAATTAGCGGAGAGGAGCTTCGGAAAAGCCAAAGGGGCATACTCCATGGAAGACCCTTTGGCTGCATGATAGCCTGCAGTACCAGTCAGAACGAAGATGATGTATTTGTCAAAATAGATTTACTGACCCAGCCAACATAAGCGGCAATCTCTATCACGAACATCGGAATTAAGAGAAATAGACGGAATTCCGGCTCGTAAATGCCTTTGTTTCTTCTCGAAGCCCACTTAACAGACCAGTCGGATAGTCTAAAAGTAAATCGTAGAACTGGTTCAACTTTGTTAGGAAGTGCACGATAGAATACATACGGTCCTGCTATAACAGTACCAATGATAGAACCGATGAAAGGTCCGATGGATATCAGACCAACTCTGTAAACGTACGTTAATCGGCCTTCACGACAACACAAGTGACTCACGTCTTGGCATCGAAGAAGTACGGCGCACTTCCAAACACCAGTGAATAGATAATGGAGACAACTATACTGCGATTATGAGGATAGTTTTCTACGTCAGATAGACCACTCACCACCGAACCAGCTGTATGTTGCAAAAGGATAAGTACACATCGAGGTCGATGAAAGTGAAGTAAACTGACACGGTGGTACAACCATCTGGGCAGCGAGAATGCGTCATTAATCGGGACAACCATATATGAAAATACTTACAAGCAAAGAACGTAAACCATACGGCAGGACTCAGTGTGAAGGGTAATAGTCTGAGTAATGACTTTATGAAGCTTATATCGCCTGAATAACTCCATGGCTTTAGTTCTTCAAGGAAAGTCTTCGGTTTCAAGCCTTTCTGTGAAATTTCTTGCGGGTTCGTGGATATTGAAGGTGATCTATCAATTTCTTCAATGTCCACTGCTTCTCTAGACTCGTCGGACTTCGACGGAGAGGAGTTTCTGTCTAGTTCAGCTTTGTCTGCGAAACTTCCGATACCATTCGTCTTACTTGCGATTCTGCGGTCGTACTGTTCAACTGTGAAGTAAATAACGACGAATTATTCAAATGGAAATATAACACGTTACCATCGTCTCAGGCATTAGGAATATTACGAGAACCAGACTGATGCCGAACGCGATCATAATAAGCCAGAAAGTCCATCTAGTGGAAGATCGTCTTATGTGCTCTGAATGCATGCATCATAGTCTTACCTCCATCCAAGAGTACTGATGACAGGCCCATTGACAATTGGAGTTACCTAACCGGCGATTAGGGACGTAGGTCAGGCGGGTATTCGCCATCACGCTCACCGCTATCCCTCCTGTTAAAGCATTGAGTTTGATGGTGTCGATTTTATTATTGAAAAGCGAAACTGCGAACCTCCTATTGCGAAATTCCAAATAGACACACGTAACCCTCTTTCATGAACCTAGAGTGCCTTAGGTAATTGATTCCAAAGCGCAAATGATTCAACGTACGAAGAAGATATCACCTATACTAGCTGTAGCTAGAGCCTCGTACGGGGCCATGCCGAGACCTGGACTTGCTTGCATCTTAATATGTTCGAAATGTTAATCAAGAAAGATGCCGCACCTTGGAATACCCTGGCTGGTGTGAAAGAGGTAATGTTTGTTGACCTGTTAATGTTTGAATTCCAAACGTAGACTCTACTAGGAAAAGAATCTTACTTTGCAGCCCAGATACCTATAAATTGAATTTCCACACGTCAGAATGCCATGCAGCCGTAGTATCGAAAGAGCCTACATGTAAAGAACTGGCAAGCGGAGGCGAACAGGTAAACAGGCCGACGACCGATCTTAATACCCAGAGAGCCTTGAACAAGAGTGAATATTCCGAGAGCAATATATAGGTCCGCAGTCGTCCCCGCAACTGCGTTGACGGAGACGCCCCATTCAGTTGCTATGTCTTTGAAGCCAGCACTGAAAATGCCACAGAGTGTATATCCAGTTCGTTAATGATCAGCAATAACGTTGCTTGAGTTTGCTTGTAGAAGCGCACTTAAGAAGATGCCCGATAGATCCACTTTTCGATGGATAAAGTCAGCCAAGTGATATTTCGAGAGTTTGTTGGACGTCATACGCTAGACCAGCGGCTAGACAGAGGCTAGACGAAGAAAAGAGCGGTTTAGACACAGTTGGATGATTATCAAATGTAATCGTGGGAATATTCTAAACTCCCAACTCACCTCCAATAGTGACACTCTTTCTTCCACCTCGGCCAATTCAAAGGATCCTACACAATGAAGATACGCGCAGTGCCATGATAAATTACTCATATTCCATACCTTTGGATCATCTGAAGGCTGCGGGACGAGTACAATGTCCTTATTGCTTTCTCCGTTGCGAAAGAGTGAGTCTCTTAATCTCGCCGATATTTTACTCTGACTGAACTCTTACCCTGCAGCGTGTTTCAACCGCGTGCCATCATTAGGACCGTCAAAATTAGTATTGATATCCTTAATATCGCTCAGAAGAGCTGTTCCGGGAACCTAGATGATTGATGCCATTAGTTGTCTGATAAGAGAATCTACGGACTCGTTTACCTGATCTCCAAGCTTCTTGTCCTCGAGTATTCCAAATACCATTTCGACTAGAGAGCGGAGAGTATCAGCGCAGGACCTGGGTACTTGAAGCTCACTGGCCACTGCCTTCCGCAGATCAATGTGCACACTCAATATAATAGTAATCACCGCTTCGGTCCGCTGTGACGGTGGAATTTATACGAAGCCTATCCAGTAAGCCCCTCATACATCCCGGTATTCATTTATGGATCAACAAGCACCGCAACTATACAAGACATGCACTCCAAACCCAAATCGTCGAGTTCATCTCACATTCCAATGTGTAGTGTTTATTTGCCGAAAACGTCGGGCACACGAAGTCGACATCGAATGGTCAGGCGTCTACTTATGCCCTTCTCATTCGTCAGCTGATAACGTAGATCTCTATACGTGCAAAACCATTGTTCACGAGAAGCTAGACGCTATGTGCGCGGCTTTATAAGACATGACTCCGTACCTAATGCTCCTCAGGACACTATCCAACATGGTTGCCGATCAAAAGAACGGCGCTTCACATACCAACGGTACCGACAAGCAACTTAAGTGCGAGCCTCTCGTCTATAGCGGAAGCTTGGATGAATTCAAGTCATTCGACGTAACGACAATTATCGGACGCGAGTTTCCCGACGTTCAGCTCAGTAATCTCCTGAAGTCTCCAGATTCGGAGAGGCTTATCAAGGACCTTGCGATAACGAGCGAGTGCTCTTCATTCTTCATGCTAGCATCCATGCTAACACCATTTTATGATCCAGTCAGCCAGCGTGGTGTCGTATTCTTCCGCAACCAGGACTTGGACTTGGAACAACAAAAAGAACTCGTCGACAAGATTGGTAGATTGGCGGGCAGGCCGGAAACGTCAGGGCTACATGTTCATCCTCTATACAATTCACCGGATAATACTCCACTCGATGATACGGGCAAGATGGATCGCCATGGTACGCATAACAGCTCTTCACTTAGCATTATAGTCTAACGAATTATATGTTAGTTTACGTTATTTCTTCGAAGACCCAGGATAAGTTGTATGCGACCATGGCTCACAGGATGTCAGTCAGACCAACGTCTGAGCTATGGCACTCCGAGTAGGTGCATGGTCAATAATCTGGTAGCCTTTACTTATGGCTCCATACAGTATAACCTTTGAGAATGTCCCGTCGGATTATTCATGCCTGAAGATCACGAAGACACCAACCACTGGAGGTGATACAGTAAGTATAAGAAGTCGACCATACAATTCGTGTACTTACTGGTCCGCCGCTGTCCGATAACAGCTATGGGCGTCGGGCTGCGAGGTCTACGACCGCATGTCCCCCTCTGTTCGTGAATTCCTAACTACCCTCACCGCAACGCACGCGCAACCCGTCTTCAAGCGGTCCGCTGCAGCCGTAGGGTGCGAAATCGTCTCTCCTCGTGGTTCTCCCGACAACTCCGGCGATGCCTTCGAGGTATCCCATCCCGTTGTACGTACTAACCCCGTCACGGGATGGCGAAGCATCTACGCCGTTGGGCTACATTGCAGGGACATCGATGGCCTCACTAAACACGAAAGTGACAGAATAAAGGAGTACTTTGACTATATGATTACGCAGTACATTTGTGCAATCATCTCTTTATTATGGTCCTTGCTGATTTCGAATTTGCTTCACATAAAGCCACCATGACTTGCAAGTACGCTTCAGGTGGAACCCGAACGACATAGCCATCTGGGATAAGTGAGAAAAATCCTACCTTACACCATTCGCGTTTCGCTTTTAACACGAATCATTTAGTCGCTCGGTCTTTCACAGCGGAACGTCAGTAGCTCCTTTACTTTCATTATAGCTCAAGGCTAACCTCGATCGTAGTCCTGATCTCGTTGGCGAAAGAGAAGGCCGGCGAACAACGTCAGTTGGGGAACGCCCGTACTTCGATCCTGCGGTACGTTGGCCTTCATTTCTCGTTAACCACTTCTCGCATACTCATGATCATGCTTATCAGTCTATGACAAGACGCGAGGCCATGGCCAAAGGCACTATCAAGCTGGTATGAGCAACAGTAAACTTCACCTCTTCCCTCTCCAGGCAAACATTCGCAAGATGGCCTTGTACGCTTGTCTCGTGAATGTCCCACAAACTTGTAAATAGTACGTCACATGGAGAACCTCGTTTTATGACTTCAACAAACATGTAATACAAAGTGAATAAGAAATCTCTTTATCACGTCTTACGGGGTGGTTATTCCTTTGGTTCTCTTGAATCTCTTATGGCATTAAATGCAATAGTATCCTCTATAGCACCAGAGATTAGTCAGTTACTTGGCTTCAATTGCTCTATATTTGGTTGCATCACACTGGTTGATTATTTTTAGCCATACACACCCTGCAGGTGTCACCGTTCAGCTAATTTCATAATTGGTAGAAATCCATATAAAGTACAGGAGGCACTGGATCCCAAAAATATAGAATACAGGACATTTACATATAAAGACAACCGAGCAGAACTTACTATAGCCCTGCACATGCCTGCTTGATCTCATCAGCCACAGCACGGAACCTTTCCTCACCCTCATTATTCAGAACATCACAGTTCCACCACTCCTCAGGTGCAGCATCATTCACAAAATCAGGATCGCGAGGTTTGACGTGCGGGACAATTAGAGCGCGTGGATTGGTAGTGTCGACATGGTAAAAGCAGAGTCGTGGGCCCATTGCACTGACTGCATGTAGTTTTGGTATGGGACAATCGCCTGGTTGTTCCAGTAATTACACGCTGTAGGTTGAGAAATTACTGACTAAAGGGCTCACGCCGTAAATCAGCCAGTCGACGTCTGATCTGCTCGTCAGCCTCGTCGCGTTTGGAAACATATCGAATATCCGTTGGTTTCTTCAGCTCCAGGATAAAAACAGGGTAATTATTGAAGAATACTTCGAACTCCACGAACCAGTCAGGAGCTCGTAGACTGCCAGGTTGCTGATACTGCGGAACGACAGTGAAGTCGGAGAGTACAGGAAAGAGGTAGTTAAGAAGCTTGTTGTATGGCCCATAGAAGTCATTTTCATCAGCGTTATTGGGGACGGATTGGAACCGACGGACGATTTTGGGCCAAGCCATTATCATTGAGTGTTGTGGTTGATGGAGTGGTTTGTGCCGCAAATCGATCACCTGCTGCAGGCCATTGCCAAAGGCGGCATCAAATTGGTATGAACAAACAGTACTCTTAACCTCCGTCCTTCTTTCGTCAGGCAAACATTCGCAAATAAGACGGCGACATACACTTGTCTCACGAATATCTCATTGTTGTAAACAGCACATCGCATCGAAAATCTCGTTTATTGCTTCAACCAACAAATGTGCAATACAAAGTGAATAGAAACATTTCTTTATCCAAAAGAATAGTAATACTAAGACTACACAGCTAAAATTACGTCTCTACGGGTCGCCGTTCCTTTATTTCGTCCTCTTCGTCGGGTATAATAAAACACTGTCGAGAAAAGGTCCTAGGTACTCCAGTTTCAATGTGAAATGTGACGGCAAAAAACTGCAAAATGCGAAGAGGAAAATAATGACGAAATGCGGAAATTGTTTGAAAAGAAACAAAAAAAGGGTCGTCGCTGGATCGTTACACAAAAACGTTTAATCGAAAACCAAAGGAAATCTACCGGGGGATCATGACACTCCGCCGTCTAGCCCGTTCAAGTGGGTGAATGCTTGAGCTCAGACTACTGTGAAGTACTGCACGTTCTGTACGTTCTTGACTTGTATCACCATCCTCGCTCGGAGCTATTTTTATTTATATTGGCATCGATTTAAATGGAGGATAAATAAAACCTACGATCTGAATCTGCACAAGCCTTCGGCACTGAATTTGTGCCAGTTGCTGTGGACTCCGTTCCAGGGCCATTAAGGAACGCGTCCATAGGACCAGTGGCCAGTGATGAATTTACTTGCTTCGGAAGGAACGAGCGCCGACGCTATAAGGAACAAGTCTCAGAGAACGACAGTAGACCTGTGGTAGTAGAAATACCTTGAGCGCCCCGGCGACATTGATATTCTCGATGTCAACCTTGAAACGCGTCTCGTCTACACGGGCACGCTTCTCTGCACATTCGACGACCCAGCCTATTCCAACAACATGGGGACGAGGCTCGTCGAGAAGTCTACATAAAGAAACGCGCAAGTACTTGTTAACATGTCTAAGAGGGCAGCTTGAACAAACGCATACCGGTACTTTGTCAGAGTACTTGCTAGGCCATTTTTATACACAATATGAGTACAAGTCTGGCCAACTCGAGTGAGTACCTGTAGTTACAAAGCATTGAAAGATGAGTTCCATTAAATTCCGGACATGTGAAGTGAGAATCACCTTCGCCCCAAGACCACGCAACATATCCACAAACAACGCTCCAGCATCATCACCCTCATCCGTACGAACATCAACAAAAACCGTACACTGGGCTAGCACATCAAGGGATCCCGGCATCTTCGTCCTACCCATCGATCTTCCACTCTTGGATCCACTCTTCACAGTGCTTTCGCTATCCGACTCACTAAACACGGAGGACGTGATAGAAGGTGATCGCGAATGGCCTCGAACGCTGGTTTCGCTCTGTGTTCGTCCTAGGCCCGGATACCCGGAAGTGAAGGAACGAGGTGCAGCCGCGCGTTGTGGTCGGGAAGTTGACGAGGTTAAGGCACCTCGGTTGTCATCGGTCGAGGGTTCTGCTGAGGACCGATCATCAACAGGAGTAGTTCTGCCATTGCCATGTTTCGAATTTAATGGATCAGGCGAGGTCATAAGAGACTGCGACAATGCAGTAAAAGCCATCGACGCACGACGCGACGCATTAAGCTTGCTAATCCGTTTAAGCTCTTTCCCAGTGATAATTTCGCTACCGTCAGCAGAACTCATGCTCGTATCCCCGTTCGCATTCGACGAGGTTGCAGAGACGTCACCATCGTTAGCTTTCTCTCTTTGTTCCTCAGTGATCTCTTCGTCTTCCTCAGCGAGTAAGTACGACTGCAGGCCACCCTTTACAGGACTTCCTTGGACAGTCTCAAGACTCGGATTCTGACTTGCCCTTATCCGTGGAATCGGTCGTCCGAACACTCCAGTCGTGCCACCGAATCCGAATCGGAAACTCGATGGTGGAGGCATCTTGTTATTCCCACTCGCATCAGGAGTAGTACTTCTTGACCCAAATGCAACTGGCGCGGTCCGAGACGAATTAGCGAGTGCTTTCGCCTTCCCTTTATCCTTGGACAAAGACGATCCGAAAGCAGGAGGTGGCGGTGGAGGCAAAAACGATTTCTTTGCTCCAGGAGTGGAATCGACAGAACCTGCTCGACTCGTCGATCTTGGTCGTCCAATCGTTCTACTTCCTGGACCAGACACCGGTACACTCATCTCGCGTGTGAATCCGAGACTCGTTGCAGGACGAATTCTTTCCCGTTGCTCGCTCGCTGGCCGCCTAAGCGCACTCGCTCCGGCAGATGTATTTGGCTTTGAGGGTGGTGGCATGGCCAGCTTGTCGAGCGCAGAGCTCAGCTTATTCAGCGCTTGCTTCGCCTGTTCGTTCGCAGCGGTGTCATTGATTGGAGGTGGGTATAGAGAGAACGTGAACGGCTTAGATGGTCCAGAGTCCAACTTTGGTACCGACTTCAGAGTTAAGGAAGAATTGGCCGAACTAGCAGCCGAACCGGACTTTCGTGGAGAAAGTGAGGAAGGGACGGTGAGGACAAATGTTTTGCGTGGAGATCGCTGGGGTTGCAGTTCCGCATGCTTATCTCGCTTTACTTCCTTTCGTTCTGCACCGTCTTGAACCGTCTTATCTGTACTAGCCTGAACTGTTTTATCTTCTTGCTTCGTGTCACCACCATCTCCTCCTTCCACAAGACCAGTACTCTTGGTATCAACTAAGGAAGGCCGGCCCTTGTCATCCTTCGGCGTGCGCATCTGAGCCTGGATTGCTTTCTGCCGAAGCACACTCGCGCGAGTAAGCCGCATCCGCGGAGTCGTTCCTGAGACTGATACCAAGCTCTTACGTTTCTTGATACTAGCAGCGCCAGTTGCCCCTCGTGAAGTCGACGAGAGCATTTTGACCTTATGCTTACCCTTGGAGCCTTGCTTGCGGATAGAAGATAATGAAGGACCTGGTGTCTTCGGCACAGAACCCGTTGACAAGGACACTGGTGTCGGCAGGTCCGAGCTCTTCGAATCGCCGTCCCTTTGGCCAGTTAATTTCACCTCATCTCTGACCTTTGCCTGTTTCCTCTCCTCTTCCTCAAATGTCCGCTGTTCCTCTCTGTAGTCGTACTCCTTGCTACCCTGCCCTTTAGACTCCATCGCAGAAAGAGGTGTAAGCGGTGATAAGCTCAACAGTTTTGACAGATGGCTCTTCGTTGACGGAAGGTGTCCAGAAGGAAGTGGTCGAGAAGGAAGGATCTTATGTCGGGGTGTTGTAGGCAGAGGTACTGCGTTTCTATCCTCTTCGCGAGGTTGAGGTGGAGGAGAGGAGCGGTGCTTCGTCGTGACAGACATGGTAGAAGGGAGAAGAATATCCGTTGTTGTAGATGTAGAGACCGTAATAGATGGTGCAGCTCGAGGTGATTCGGGTGCAGCTACTGGCTTTGCCTTAATCAATGTATCCGAGGGACGTATCTCGGAGTCAACATCTATACTAGGCTTCTTTGCTTCTTCTGGCTCCGGAGGGGATGGAGGAAGAGGAACTAAGCTTGGTTGTGGACTCTTATTCTGTAGATGCTGCTCAGTCTCCATACTCTCGTGCGGCTCCTACAATTAAAGTCCGACTTAGTCCGAATGAATTTTGATAAAAACAAAAAACTCACGCTTGTAGCCCGTTTCTCATCATCATCATCATTATTACTGGCATCTCTCCCTTCTCCTGTACCCCGCGATTTCCCCAGAACAAGCGCTGCGCCAACGCTCACAGCCCTCGTCTTCAACGCAGGCTTCGCAGAGGGAGCGCCAAGGCCTAAATTTATCGTGAGCTTCCGTGGACTCGGGGTCACAGTACGCAGATCCAGTGTCGGAATCGCGCGAAGCTGCTTGATCGTTGGTGTCTTCGGAAACAATACAGGCTCTTCCAATCGTGTTGGTTTCGTGCATTGAAGTGGAGTTGAGGCAGTTCCAGAACGATGAGAAAATTCGGACGAAGAAGAAGCCTCGCTGAAAAAGCGGCGTCCAGGTGAGCTAGGCACGTCTGTCGGTTTGGCCCGGCTAGCATTTATACTCGGTGATGACGAAGACGATCCGGAGGAACGCTTGAAGAATGCATCCAAGGTTTCTTGGCTCGCAAGCTTAGCCCGTTTCGCGTTGGATGCACCGCTCGCAGTTGGAGTCGATTCCGAGGAAGCCAGTAAAGATGTGCCAGATTTAGCCATAGGGTAAACTGTTGAGCTAATGTCTATGGACCCGCGGCGCGGAGGCGCAAGAGGCGACTCGAGTGTCGAGTTGCCACTTGCCTTAGAGCCAAAACCAGAAGGCGAAGGTAAGGCCGTCTCGTCAAAAGATGAAGATCGCGGTCGTTTAGGGTATTTCGGGTGGGTGTCACTTGAACAACCGGAGAAATCGAATGGTCCTCGCGGAACGGACGGCCTTTCATGCACCGTGCTCTCTGTGGACTTCGCTCTTACCGTTCCTTCATCCCGCTCCAAATCATCCCGTATTTCGTCTTCACGTTCCTCAGAGTATCGTTGTGTCTCCAGTCCGGAACCGATACCAGCACGCGCCAAAACATCAGCCATCTTTGCGTCAACCTCACCCTTCCCACTCCCATTCCCATTCCCGTTCATCGTCCCAGCCCGGGCCTCCTGCAAGAACCGTGCATTCGCCCTCCTCATAGCATCCCGAGCATGCTTCAACGGAGACCGATCATACTCCACATTAAACTCGGGTAACGCAAGTTGCGAACGCGTCCGTATCTGGTTCTGATTCTGCTGTGTGTTCGTGTTTGTTTGTCGTGTAGTATTAGGTCTAGATGTCATTGTCGATATGCAATAGTCTTGAGTTCCCCAGAGTAGGTTTGTCTATTACTTTGTAACATAGACAAGATACAGCTGAGGTATGCGGCTGGTAGGTGGCTACTCTCAAGACTCAGTTTGTTGTAGGAGACGAACACGGACGGTTTCATCCAAATGATCGCGTCGTCCACGGTACACGTGATCGCTCACTAAATTTCAATTTAATTTAAATATATTTGCATGGATATTTGCATAAAATAATGCTCCTACTGTACCGTAGCGCGTGTATAAAGGGTATTTGCATAAGGTGAGGTATCTACTACAATTAAAAGGGAGAATATGTAGGTAGGATCTACTTGCTATACCACCCACTCATCAACCACGCCTCGTTATGCAGCGCAATCGCCGTATCAATATCAGTGTCTGCAACGTAGGGTTGGCCAGCGTTATGCCTTCGCTCAATCTCGAAAGCAACCTTGGTGAGTGCGCCGCTGCATGTACGATGACCAAAAGGAAATGCAACAAATGCTTCACGATGCGCAAGGATCGTTTCCAATAAATTGAAATCCGGATCGCGCGTCGCACAGTGTAAATGCGAAAACTCTGGGGCATAATGCGCACATAGCATCTGGATGAGACCACAACCTTCAATCGGTGCATCGGCTTCCGATTTAGAAGGAGTCGATTCGATGAACTGCTTGGGTTCGTAAATCTCGAGGAACGGATACACGGCCGCGTGTGCGCTGGGGGAGGAGCGGAGAGGGCTTACCTGGACGTTGCCCTCCCCGTCCGTCATCGTGGTCATTTCTGATTCTGTTGACATCTGCATGTCTTCTTCCGGTTGGATAATCTGAGGTACGTGCTGTGGCTTGGGAAAGCAGTCAAAACCACTATCAATGCTACTATCGAAACTGCTCGTACCTGTTTACTCTCCGTGGTTGATTGAGGGTCGACCGGTGCATATGCAGCCAGATTCAACGACCCAAACAGACGACACATCTCCGCATCTACATCCGACATGGCGTTATCCTATGGGAAGACAAGTCAGCAACCACAGTCTCGCTCTGAACTAGCGCAGGCAATATGAGTCCCATTCCACATTGCGGGCTCGAAGGTCCCGTAACGCAAGGCCGTTGCAGCACACTACGCAATGTAAGACAGCGACGCACCTTAGGATTGTAATATTCCAACGATATAGCAGAAACACTTCGTTGCACGAGCGTCGTCATCTTTATTATCGCCGAGTGGGTGTGGCCTAATGATACGAGACTCTGGCGTGCAAGGTAGGCCACTTGGGAGTATAAAAGAGAAAAATGGAGGGTCGATAGGAGCCACCAAGCGAGGGGAGCTTATTAGTACGGCCCCGACCCTCTGCCCAGTCACAACATGAGGGTCCCGCGTGCATTGTGCCCATATCCATGCCATGCACGTTCCATGCTTTCGTCAGGTCATACAGGGGCTGCCCACCTCATCGCTTGGGGCGATGGGGAAACGACGGAGGCATCGATTGCACAAGTTCAGAACTTCTTAATGCAATGTGCAAAGACAGTACCTTAGATCAGTATGGCAGTTCTTACCAGATTACATAATGAAGCATAACTACTAGGGATCCGAATCGTACCGTACAGTACGGTTACGACCCGTTTCGGTCACGGTACGATCTGTACTCGTACCGGACTTTGAGACACCAAATACGGCTCGTATAAAACGGGCCGTATCCCGTATCCTATTAGGCCAAATACGGCCGTATACGGCTGTATACAGAGTACAGACATCCAAAGAAGATTTTCAGTATTAATAACATGTGTAGCACAGTTTATAATTATTTCTTCTCTTTGTATACCTTATAATATACCTTTTATACATAAAAACACCAAATTTAGCTAATCTTGGGGTCAATGTATTAATATTATATTATTTATCTTCTCAAAATAGTTAGTCATGTGACTATCTTTTATTACTTCATACAAATTATATTTCAGATTTACTGAATATATTGATGAAAATGGGCATAAAAAGTGCTAATTTGATAGGGACATACATATAAAGTAATAATAGGCCTTTTTAACGATTTTAAAGTATATTAATTATTTCTTTCTATTAATATAATATTAAATTTGTATTTACAAGTGTATTACTGTATACAGCTGTATACAGTACACACTGTAGCTGTACTTGTGTCCTAGAACTCAAAAAACAGTTGTATTTTTACAACTGTACCCTGTACAGACCTGTACAGAGTACAGTCATACCTGTATATATACACTTGGATCCCTAATAACTACCCTTACACTACAAGAACCAAATTCATAATTGTAAGAACTTTATAGTGAGTATACATGGATGCATTATACATATCCTTATTGTTTCACAAAGTGTTAAGAAAGGGAAGAGAGGTTATGTGAGAGGCTTAGAGGGATTACACAAAGAGGGGGGGATAGTAGACTCAGCTTACTCTCTTACAGCTTGCTTTATTGTCTGTTGATTAGTTAGTCTATATATACTATGTAGGTATGTCTCAGATGTAGAATGTATGATGGAAGGTATTCCATCATTGTTTGTCATTACTTGTAATGTAGTTTATATTATCTGAGACATACTCTTATGTAGTCTTGTCTTAACACTCCCCTTCAAACTCTTACTAGGTCTAGTAGACTTGTAAGATGTTTGCTTACAGTATGTATAGATAGTTTAATTATTATAACTGTATTGTACAATTGTTTGTTTGTGTAATACATTTATAACTTGATGTAGTTAATAATAATATTATTAGCATTATAGTAATACATTGTCTGTTCTGTGTACTGTCTGTTCCAAATGTTATCCACTTTGTGTTAAGTTCATCCAATGTTATATTGATTAAGTATATTTAATTAGTTTGTTCATTCATAATATACTGTTTAATAACAGTATTGTTATTGTAATAGATTGTTTGTAAATGTTATTAAATAATTTGTAAATGCTTTAGAGACTTGCAGAATCTTGTCAGCATGTATAAGTACATATATTGAAATGATTGGCATTACACTAAGAACTGTACATCACATGCAGACAATTACAGCAATCAATTCTGAACACCCACATGACTTATAGAAGCCTACTCTGAGAACACCCAACTATTCTGTATTGCAAGCATACACAAACAGAACCACAAGTGTGTACAGTCTTGGAATCAGCTTACACACATTGTTTTCTCTACAGGATGTACAGATCATGTACTTATTATAGGCTCAGAACACAAGTTGTGTCACAGTAAGTAGCTCAGCAAACCATTACATCATTATTGCCTGAATTAAAGTACTACAATCTTCCAATCAGATAGGACATTGGGGCAATCAAAGTGTTGATCTCAGGAGACTGCCAGAAATCTCAGAACTCTCCACACTTTGTCTGTACTGATCAGATGATAACAGTATGAGAACCTTCTACTTCTTTCAATGTAAATCTTACTTTTCCCTTTTGCATAACATTTCCTGTGGTTAGAATGCAGACTACTTAAAATTTCCTCATACATTTTCACCCCATTTTCTTCCAACCTCTGGCAAAAGGTTCTCTTATTTGTTCTTGTATATTTTGTTATTTTTCTTTTGTTCAGTCATAACATTTCCCTGTTAGTACTACACTTTTCCAGAACTTGGAAAACTATAAATACAGCTACTCATGTACTAGATACAGGGGAATTCAGATAGTTCACCCATTGATTTAGCTCTTGTCTCTTGTCTCAAAGTCCTCTAGTGTGAAGTATAGTCTTAGTTTTTGTTGTTTCTGTATCAGATTGTTTGTTGTACACTTTACAAAGTGTACATTCTGTTATTCACATCTCTCTTCCAAGGTTGCAACTGTGCCAGAAGAACTTGCACCTGTTTGGAACCACTCTAGTCTCCTAAGACTTGTAGTTTAGCTCCCCCTCAAACTTAACAAATCACCTGTGTTCTTCTCTTAGACACTTTACAGGAGTTTCATCTGGAGCCTACTGTGAGAGGGGTTTCTATAGTTAAACAATACAAGTTCTAACAGTTCTTAGCATCCCAAACAGGTTTCTCAGACACTAGCCTGTAGCCTTAGGTCAACTCAGTCACAGTCAGCACTAGTACCTGTATTGAGCAGAACACACAGATCTGCTAGAATCCAATTGTACTGTAAAATGTCTAATAGTTCAAACACCAGAAGTACAGAATCTGATATTGTAGAAACCTTAGGAACACTATTAGAATAACAGAGTACTCAAGTCAGTAACAAAGAGGAGGAAGAAGAAGACCTTGTAGCATTATTACTCAATCCCCAAGTAATTAGTTTCTGAATTTGTAACAAACTGTTACATTTAACATCCCCAGAATTGTGTACAAGATTGTCAGCTACTCTACAACTTTCCCAAAATGTATCAACATCACAACTGACTGTAACTGGAATGCTGTATCACAGAAGAGTACAGTTGTCTCCACAGGAAACAGAGACAGTCTAGTAACTAGTATCATTACTCTTACTAGCAGCCAGTGTATTGTTAACAACACAGCTCCAGTTACAGTAACAACAACTTGTAAGTAATGTGTGACTACTTTAGCAACTATAAGTAAACACACAAATTCTATTACAACCAAGGCTAACAGTGTAGCCAATGGCTACATTGAACATTCTGAAGCTGCCTTGTTGTAGAGTATGTGATACACTGTCCTTTAACAGAACCAAGCCCTAAGAATTGTAGAGGTATTTTGCAGACATAGAAAGTCTTACAAACAAATGCAACATAGTTGGAGTGGATATTATTCTGCTTACAATAAAGTACATGCCTGTAGAAGTGGAGGATTTGTGAGATAATACAGATAAAGTATCTTAGGATACATTTAAGACAGGAGTAATTGTATATTACCTGAGTCTTAAGACAGGAGCACAATATGCTAGAAGTGACTTAGATACTATAGTACAGAAATGGGCAGAGAGAGGAATTATGAATAGAGACAAATTGGGAACATACTACTAAGAGTTTACACTCATAGTAACCTATTTGACAACTAACAATAAGCTGTCACTAGAGGAATCTTACTGTGTTTTTCTACATGTGTTCTGTAGAGTAATTGTAGAAAAGCTGATATAGAAGTTAGAAATTAAGTATCCAGACTATAAGGACAGACTTGTGTACAATATTGTACAAGTTGTAGCTACAGTAGGGTCAATCCTTAGGGGATCTATACTTACAGTAGTTAGTAGATCAGATACACTTGTAAGGCAGCCTGTAATTCTAGTCAAACAGGAGGAAGTTAATTTGACAAGTATTGTAGAAGTGCTTCAGAGTCTACAATTGTAAGTAGAGTCAATAAAGTAAGGCCTAAGATCAGGAGGAGGAGGATACAGTAGAGGTTCAGGCAGAGGATCAGGAAACAGAAGTTGCATGTTTTGTGGAGAATCTGAACATTTTATACACAGTTGCTCAAAAGTGTCAGAATACATTATAAACAGGAAGTGTACACAGAGCCTAAACAATAAAATTATTATGGCTAACAGAAACACCATTTCTGGGATAGGGTGGACCTTGAAGGAAAAGGTTGATAGTTACTTTCTGTCATTACAAATACACTCTGTTAGTTTTGTACAGGCTGTACCAGTTATAGTACACAGTCTAGGAGCTCCTGTACTAGTTACAATGGTAGAGGTTGATGAAGAAGAAGAGGAGGAGGTAGAGAACCTTGTAGAGCTTGAAAGGCTTGAAGTAATGCTAGGAGAAGCCTGTAAGAAGGTTGTAGAACAATTGAAAGTAAAGGATGTGAAGGGGAAGGGAAAGTAAGAGTGTGATTACAAAGTAGCAAAACCTACAGAAATCAGACCAGTGCTAGCAAGTATACAGTAAGATGTAACTAGAACAAAGGAGTACCTGTACTACTACATTATACTAATTGAGGACCCAGAAATAGCTGGAAGAGTTTTAGATTACAGCTTAGACTAGGAAGTGTGTATTACACAGTAAGAGTTGCTTACATTGTCTCTAGAGCTTTGTAAGAAGACTTGCAAATTAGTTATGTTAAGGTACTGAACAGATAGAAACACTACATTCTATAGTAGAGAACTGTCTGTTACAGGATTGAACATTTGTACACTACAGTAGTATTATAATGTGTTAGTGGAAGTCAACCATTCACTTCTACTCTGTATACTCAAGGCATTAGTAGACAGAAAAATTGAGGTAGATTGTGTACTAGACTAGGGTTCAAGCATGAACATAGTTTGAGCTAATGTATGAGAAGTATTAAAGATTCTGTTAGATTGTAATATGACTGTTATGCTTGAAACAGTAGACACAGGTCAGGGATCAACTGTAGGACAGATTCTAAGGTTGTAACTCTTTATAGGAATGCTTTGTATAAATATTACAGTACAAGTTGTGTAGAAAGCTCTGTTTAGAATCTTGCTAGGTAGACTGTTCTTTGTGACTATAGAATGTGAAACTAAAGATTTTGTAAACAGGGAGCAGTACATAATGCTTTAGGACCTAAATGATCT